AAAAAAAATACATACATATATATATATATATATATATATATTTATTTATTTATTTATTTATTTTTTTTTTTTTTATTTATGGAATGTATACATAATAGTGATAAAAAACAACTTTTAAATAACATATATATTATTATACAATATCATTCCTCGTATTTATTTTTTTTATTTTAACATATATAATATTAAAAGATATAACTACAAATAAATAAAAATAAAGCAAAAACACGCCAACAGGAAGCTCCAAATTTGATATATCAACATATATATATATATATATGTATAATATATATGTATAATATATATGTTTATAAATATTATGTGTATTAGCTTGTGTTTTATTTATTCCATATTTTTATTATTTATATATCCTTATGATAAATAAATAATAATTGTAAACAAACATGTAGTATTTATATTTGCATTAACACGTTTCTTTTCTTATTTTCAAGAATTATCACTTTAAAAAAAAAAAAAAAAAAAATTAAATAATATATAAATATATAACACATATATATATATATATATATATATATATATATTATATATATTAATTATAAGTTGGGGAAGTTTCTTTTTATGAAAAAAAAATATTTAAACTTAAAGGATACTTTTTTAAAGAACCATTTAAAAAATAAAACAAAAAAAAAGGGTCTTCAGTTTTTTTTTTTTTTTTTTTTTCATATGTAAAAAAAATGATCCAAAAAAAAAAAAAAAAAATAAAAATAAAAATAAAAATAAAAATAAAAAGATAAATATATAAATAAATATATATATATATATAAACAAATAAATAAATATATTTTTACATATTTATAATATATATATATATATTTTCATATTCTCATTAGAAATTGTTTTTACATATTGTTTAAATCATTATTATTCATATCAATATCATCTTCCTTATTATCCTCGTCACCTTCTCTCACATGAGTCGTATTACCTTTACTATCTTCCTGTTGATAATAAGTATGTTGGTTATCCTCCTCCTTTTTATGCTCAACCTCATACAACGGATTTGCAATCGGTTTACCATCTTCATATAAAATTTCCATATGAAAATGAGGGTATTCATAAAATGATTTTCCCCACAATGACTTCCTCAGAACTTGCTGAACGGAGTGATATTTTTTCATATCATATGTATTATCATTATTGTTGTTATTATCATTATTGTTGTTATTATTATTATTATTATTGTTGTGATGATGATTTAAATTTTTCCTTGTTTTATTCGGTTGTTCATTTTGTAATGATATATATATGGATTTAAGATTTTGAAGGTAAATAGAAATTTTTGTTTGTAATTTATCAATTTTAGAACATAAATATTGAATAATTTGCATAAAAGTAAGATTTTCATTTATTTCATGATGTAAAATCATAATATTAAGATTAACAAAGGTTATTTTGATTGACCAGAAAATAATATGATTAGATATGAAAGTTTTATTTTCATTATGTATTTTTGTAAATATAGGAGCTTTTAATAAGATAATTTTTCTTTTTTTAAATAATTTAATTAATATTTTATTATGTAATAACCATATTTTTGTAGTTTCATAATTCTTAACTTTGATATATTTATAATTTCCATGTATTATAGTTTCTATATTTTGTAAATAAAGAAAATCTTTATATAATATCGATTCATCAAAATTACCTTTACTAACATTTTTTATTTTTAAATTTTTTTTCAATTTTTGTCTACATTTAAACATTTTTTTATGATTTTTTGAACATTCTAATGAACATGTACAAATTTCACAATAGGGACACTTATAAATATGTTTTTTTTCTTTACACACATAACACATATTTTCTTTAAAGTAAAGATTGTTTATATTAATATCATCTTCACTTGAACTATCATTATTTATATTATCATTATATCTTGATGAATATTTTTGGAAATATTCTACAGCATTTTTTAAAATATCATCTTTTGATAATATATCCATTTTTCTTTTTTTATTTTTCCCTTCTTCATTATATTTTGTTATATCTTTTATATATTCTTCTGTTTCTATAATATGAGAACAATTTTTTTCATCTCCTTTTGTATTATTACCAAGTAAATTATTACATGTCTCCTTTTTTACATTTTCATTATTATTATAATATGTATCATTCATAAATTTATTACTCCCATGCTTTTTATTATCTTCGTAGTCCTCATTATGATAGTTGAAATTTTCAAAAATGCTCTCATTTAAAATATAATCACTACCATCATCATTTTTGTCATTCAATATATAAGATTGTTTCATACAATTATTTATAGGTTTCTTTTCACATGCTAAAGAAGAAATACCATGATCAGAATTTTGTCTCAACACACTATTACAAACATAATGAGAATCTCTTCTTATATGTTTATTATTTCTATGTTTTTTTGTATCATTTTTATTTTGTTCACAATCTGGAAAAGAAGCCATGTTCAAATATAAATTATTATGTTCATATATTTGATTATCTACTACACACGGTGTGGTATCATTCACATGTTTATATAATCCATGTAAAGAACTTTTTTTTTGTTTATTTTTTTCAAAAGATTTCATTATTTTATTCGTAACACAACTATTATTAGAAAGGTTTATATTATTTAAATTCATATTGTATACATCATTTTGTTGATTATAGGAAAAGATATTATTTTTTTGATAAAAATTATTATTATTGTAATTTCTTTTCTGTTTTTTATATTGATTATAAAAATTATTATGTACATTATAACGCCCACTTATATTATTATAATTTATGTACCTTTTTCTTGATGTTGTATTATTATTTTGAGCAATAGATACTTCAACATTTATATTTTTCTTTTCTTCACCATTTATATTTTCCTTTTCTTCAACAATTATATTTTTCTTTTCTTCAACATTTATATTTTTCTGTTCTTCACCATTTATATTTTTCTTTTCTTCAACATTTATATTTTTTTTTTCTTCTTCGAGTGAATAACAATTATTTCTATTTATCGCATGGTCGTTGTTTATCATATATGGATCATTTAAACAATTCATAGTACATATATAAATATATATTTTATATATCTGATTTTATATTCTTTATGATAAGTTTATATGTTTTATAAAAATTATTTACATTAAAAAATGTAATCTATTTAAAATAAATAAATAAATATATTTTATTTTTATGATGATTTTAAAAGATAGTTTTTTCTTTTCATGTCATTTTTTAACAATAATATATATAATTATTTTTATATACGTATTTCTTTCTTCTTTTTTTTTTTTTTTTGTATTTTAAAGACTTTTGAAGAGCGTCATTTAATAATACATATAATATATATATTATATATATGAACAAATTAATTTTTAAAAATAAAAATATAAAATTATAGATATTTTGTTAAAAGAAAATCGTTGTAGTTACAAAAGTTAAAAAAAATATAAACCACATAATAATAAATATGTAAAATATATATATATATATATATATATATATATATATATATATATATATATATATATATATATATATAATATAAGAAGTTGTAATTTTATAATATTATATCATATCAATATTAATATATATATTATATTTATATTATATAATAAACATATATTTTTATTTTTGTCATTAATACTTTTTATATTAATATAAAATTTTTTTTTTTATTATTCTTCATAAAAAAAAAAAATATATATATATAATATATAATATATATATATATATATATAATATTGTATTTTTTTTTATTATTTTATTTTAAATTATTTATAGCTAATTTTTCATTTTGACAAAAAAAAAAAAAAAAAAAAAAAAAAGTTTATTTTACAAAAAATTAAAAAAAAATATAAACATGTATGTATATATATAAATCACTAAAAAAATAAAATAATTATAACATAAAAAAAAATATATAAAGAGGTATATCTATATCTATATCTATATATATCTACATATACATATATATATATCTATATATATGTATATATTATATGTTTCGATTTAGATGCATTAATTTATGTTTGCATTTATTTTATCTCCTGTACCTTTTTTTCTTAAAATTAAAATATAATTGTAAGATACCTCGGTCGAATATATTTCTGAATCCTTTATTTTTATCTAGAGACCATTCTGCATTTATAATTTTAAAAGCTACATCTAAATAAGGTATACCCCCATGAAATATGATAATAACTTTCGTATCATCATCTTTTGAAGGATATAGTTTCCAAGTAGGTTTATGATTTTTATTTATAAGATTAGTATAAAAAATATTAAATTTATAACCACATATATATTTAGGAGGTGTATTTTCATAATCATAATGTGTTTTATTATATTTATTCCAATCGAAACTTGTTTTTATTCTATTAAAATATAAAGGTTTTCTTGCTACAAATAAATTATCCTTTAATAATGTTGCTGTTTTCACAAGATTATGTGGTATAATATCCTTCATAATTATTATATCTTTTATTCCTTTCTTTTTTTCTCTTTGTACAAAAATATCATAAATTTTTTTATCTTCCATAAACAGCTTATTTAAGTTGTCTTTGTTCTTAATATCTTCAGTAAGAGATTCAAAATGAAAACATCTATCATCATCATTCATAACATCAAATTTCATTTTATCATAAACTTCATCATTTAATTCCATATTTTTATTATTACCACCTTTTACATAACTAAGGATAGATAAATCATCTTCTTCTTTTCCTTTCAATTTTATCAAAATATTTTCATATATTCTTTTCCTTTCTTTTAATTCTTCCTCTGAATTATACACGCTTTCTTTCTTATTTTTATTTTTCTCAAGAAAATTTATATCATATAATATGGGGCTTTCGCAGTCGTAAGGTATCCTTTCTTGTTTCTCTTCTGATAATCTAATGTTTTTCCTTGATGTCTTTACTTGCAATTCCCTACAAGACGAGATAAATATATGCATATGTATATATATATATATATATATATATATATATAAATATATATATTTTTATATTCATATAATACGATTAAATTTAATATTTGTACACAATTTCATCTTTTATTAAAATTAATCAATAAAATAAAATAATTTTAATAATTAAACAAAATTGTCATAATTATTATAGCAATCGTTTAGTTTACTAATTCCTTAATGATACGGTTAAATAGTAAGTGAATAGATTGCAAACATATAAACATAAATATATACACATAAATATGTATACATAAATATATATACATATAAACATAAATACATACATATATTTATATATATATATATTTTTTTTTTTTTTTTTTTTTTTTTTTTTTTTTTTTTTTTTTAATCCACCTGTGAGAGTATTCAATAGTGTTATCAATTTTGTTCAACATCTTTTCTAATTTTTCTTGAAAACGTTTCAATATATATTTCGATTTATAATATGGTATTTTAAACAATATCATATTCCAATAATTCACATCTTTATTTGTTGATTCTTCCATAAGTAATTTTTCTTTTATTTTATATTCATATGTTATTAATTCATCATATGTTTTATTAAGAAAAAAGGATTCTATTTTATTGTCTGTACTATCATCTATATAATTGTTTTCTTGTTCCTTTAACTGAATCTTATCTAAATAATATTTACAAAAAAATAATAGTGCATTCCAAAATTTTTCATACTTTTCTGCATTAAACATTTTATCATGTATAAGAAATAATTTTATTTGTCTCTCGCAGTTTACCAATTCTTTTTCTCTGAGACCTAAAAAAAATAATTAAAAGCCGACAAAAATTGTTACATATATATATATATATATATATAAAAATATGCATGTAACATAAACCCCTTGAAAATATAACAAAATAATTATATTTATCTGTTCATTGTTTCAGAAAGTAACATAATTCAACACACTTTTTATTCTGTTCTAACAAATGTGCTTTTTTTAATATTAAATCATCATTAAAAATGACAAGAAATATATAAGGGGTGTACATATAAGCATTATATATATATATATATATATATATATATATGTGTGTGTGCTTTCCTACATACATATATTCTCATTATTTACCTTCTAATATCTTGTTAAAGGGCATGGTGTAGTTATTAATACCTATACTTTTTTGTAGATCCTCTTCTCCTTTTAATATTTGTATTGCTGTTCTAAAAATATCTATTGGTTGTATATCTTTGTGTTTAATTCTCTTATTTGAGAAATGTATTTCTTGATTAAAAAAAAAGAGATGTTCTTTTTCCATATATTCTTTTATATTAATTTGATTTTTTTGTTTCTCTAATTGTAAACGATGATCTTCTATCATTTGTCTTTCTTTTTCTCTATCTTCTCTTCTTTTCTTAACTTGCTCAATTTCATTAATTTTAGAAACACAATTTTCAAGAAGGCTATTCGTTGTTAATTTTATTTTTTTATGGTTCTTTATTTTTTCATATTTATTTTTTAATTTCCAAACAAATGGTGCTGATAAAGTATTGTCACCAAACGGATTACATTCATCTGTATAATTAAAATGTTTTTTCATTAAATTTTCTCTTTCTTTTTTTAATTCTTTTACAGTCAAATTATTTTCTTTTTTATTCTTAATTTGATCATCTAAAACATTAGAGTCTCTTTTATGTTTCTCTTTTTTATGTTTTCTTTTTTTTACACAATGATCATCATCACTATCATCATCACTATCATCATCATTATCATCATCACTATTTTTGTTATGATATGATCTTTTCTTTTCTTCATATTTTTTTTTCTTCCTTCTTTCATCCCTAACTACTGAGACATTGGATATATAAGAAGAATGTGAAGAACACAAAGAGGATGTGTCTCTCTTATGCTGATCATATTTATCATACTTGTTATATTTTTTATTTTTATTTTTATTTTTATTTTTATTTTTTTCATTGATGTGGCTTAAAGCGTATCCAGATGAGAATTTCTCATCTGACGATTCGTTGCTTGACATTATTAAAAAAAAAAAAAAACATACATATATATATATATTTCGAAGGAATTGTGAAAAATTATATATACATATAAAGTATACTATGCATATATATTAATATATATATTGATTCCTCTTTACATTGTGGTGTTTCTTTATACACGTATACACTTCAAGGCACATATAATTTTTTTCTTTTTTTGTTTCTTCCTATCTTTTTTATTTTATATGTTTCTTGGCCCCACCAAATTTTTATGTAAGTAGAATTTTTTTATAATATGCATTTTAAACATACATGTATTTTTTTTTTTAACTGTTTAATTAATTTTTTTAAAAGAGCATATATACTAATAAATTATAAATAAATAAATAAATAAATATATATATATATATATATATATATATATACATACATAATATATATTTTTGTTTTATATGTATAAATTATATATTATATGAACATACATATAATATATAACAAAATGCTATTATACGTATGTAACATTAAATATATATTTATTGTAAATATATTATATATATATATATATATATATATATATATATATATATATATCTTTTTTTTATTATTATTATTTTTTTTTTTTTGGTGATATAACTATTTATAATATTTTATATTGAACAATAATTATATTTAATATATTATATATATATATATATATATATAATTTTTCAAGGTGTTAAAAAAGAAAGAAACGTAGGATTTAAAAAATAAAAATAAATAAATAAATTTAAATAAACATATATATTTATATATATATATATATATATATATATATATGTATATATATATATAATAATATTAATCTTTAATTATTAATTATGGTGATATTCTTCATAAAAAAAAGAAAAACAACAAAAGCATATTACAAACTTGAATTTCTTTTTATTTTGTTAATTTAAAATTTAGTAGACCCTTTAAACACTGTTCTCAATATATATATTTCTTTTTATATGAATAATATATATTTGAGAACTTATACATATATATAATATATGGATGAAAATAAAAATAATAAAATATAATATAATATTATATATAATATTATGCGCATATAATACAATAAATAATTACGTCGTTAATATTTTATAGCGCACTTTATAAAAAAAAAAAAATTAAATGAAAAATACATATATATATGAACAATAATATATATATATATAATATATATAATTTTTTTTTTTTTTTTTTTTCTTTTTTTCTTTTTTTTTTTTTTTTCATTGATCCTTCCATTTTTATGGTTGAACCTCCAATGATGAAAAAAAAAAAAAACTGAATAAATGAAAAGTTTGTAGAAAACTTAAAGGTCACCTTTATTACCTTGTTATTTTTTTAAAGACCCTGAGGAGGCATATATAATAAAAATAATAATAAAATGTAAAAATACTGAATTTTAAATTTATTATTATTATATATATATGATATAAAAAAAAAATTAATAAAAAGAGGGAAGGATTAATATCAAAATGATGAATATTATGAAAATAAAAAATAATGTGGTACATATATATATATATATATATATATATATATATATATATATTTCTTGTTATATAAAAAATGAATAAAGGTTTATAATACAATAGTTGTTATTGTATGACATTATAAAGTATGGTAAACCTAAAATATATAAATAAAAAGTATATTTTAATTTTTATATATTTTACTTGAATGTATTTAAGAAATAAAAATATTAAATAAATATATATTTTTTTTAATATTCCTTTTTACATATGTAATAATAAATTCATCTTTTTTTTTTTCTGTTATTGTCATGACTTTTTGGAACCAAACTCATATATTAATATTTGGTCATATCACTTATATATATCAAAATATTCTTTACATCATATATGTATATATATATATGTGAAACATACGAATAAAAATATAATACGTATATATATTTTTATATTAATTACTATGATATATAATACAAGCAATCTATGCTTAAGGAAAAGGTTTTCATTTATATCTTTATAAGAACTTATTATTTATATAAATATGAATACAACCAAAACAACACATTATAATATATATATATATATATATATATATATATATATATATATGTATATGTGTGCATATTATAATACTACTTATTAGAACATGTTGATTTCATTTAATGTTGAATTATTAAATGTATAAACCTCATATAAGATGGTGATATAAGAATTTTTTTTTTTTTCCTTACTTTAACCGTTTTAAAGTTCTTAAATGTATTTATATAAACGTAAATGCCTTTTTTAAATAATCGTTATATATATATATATATATTTATTTATTTATTTATTTATATTTATACATATATATATTTTTCAAAGGTTACAAAAAAGATAATTTGATTTATATTTATTAAAGTATATTTTAAAAAAATGTTTCTCTTTTTTATAATTTCCTTATTGGTTTAAAAAAAAAAATTGTTCATATTATAAATTTCTGTATGGGGCGAATAATTTTTAAAGTTTTATTATTTTCTTTCTTTCTTTCCTTCTTATTGATTTTTAAAAATATTATATTTTATAATAAATACAAATATGGAAATATTGTATAAAAATATAATTATATATATATATATATATATATATATATATATATATATATATATATTATATATATTAAATATATTATATATATATATTATTTATATCCGTAAAAATAAAAAATATTACATATATACATTTCATATATGTATTACATATATATATATTCTAATACCTCTAATTAATATTTTTTTTTTTTTTTTTTTTTTTTTCTTTTTGAATATATTTATATGTGTATTTATAAATATCCCTTTTAATTTTTATAATAAATAAAAAAAATTCATATATTCGATTATATTTTATTGTATTTCTTGTTTATACATAAATATATTGTTATTTATAAGAAATTAAAAATTAACAGATATCCATAAAAGCGTAATATTATGATATAATAAATTTGAACAAAAAAGAAAAAAATATATATTTATATATTTAATAAAATATAAAGAGGTAAAGAAAAAAAATATATATGGAACATATTTATTTAAATTATACCTTTGCACTTATAAATAAAAAGATAAAATGAAAAATATATATATATATATATATATGTATAATAAAATATTTATAAAATATATATCATATAACATATATATCATATAACATATATATCATATAACATATATATCATATATCATATCACATATATATCATATATCATATCACATATATAC